AAGGGAAAATTGTCCGTTTATCGAAGCGAACCCCTTTAATAGTGCATCTCTCGCATGAAAAGAAACCAACGTGACCTTTAATCCCCTTGAGCAAAGCTCTTGCTGGGGTATCGCAGCAAAAAGCTTTAATGCTAAATTGGTAATAATGTCCCTCAATTTCCACTCCATTACTTAATCTGTTCACTTCGTTGATGAAATTTCCTAAAAACGCATCAAGTTCTTTCGGTTTTTCATCTCCGTAATAGACTCCTATAGGAAAAGGCTCGTAAACGTTGTAATGATTGTGAATTTTACCCAAAATGGGCCACATTTGGCGCGTACTTGATTTGTATACAGGCACCCCATCTATATTTATCAATAGTTCTATAGAACTTTCGTGGAAATCAGGATTGACATTTTGTAATCCTTTTTCGATCCCAAAGTACACGAATTCGCCAGTTCCAACTGTCTCAATTCCATACTTTGCGTTATAAGTTTTTAGGAAACTTTTAAAAGTTTTTGGCAAGTTAGGAAGTAGCTTGTGACACAAAATGCACAACAGTTTATCACCGTTCGATTGAGCAATACCACTTTGAATAATCCACTTTCTGAGTTCAGGTTCCTCATCAAAATCTGGAGGGTATCCTTTTGGTGCTTTCTCGCAAATAAACTCCACGTCGTCATCGGCAACAGCCCCTTCGTCCGGACTATAGTAATCTTCATATTCATAGTCGATATAATCTTCGTTATCAGTCTGTAAATTAACTACGATTGATTAAGAGCATTTGATAAAATTTTTATTCCTAATGAACGTACCGAAAATTCATCGTGGGGATCAACTTCGCGAATGTCGTCCTTTCCAGAAATTACTCCTTCTTTTCCCACATGTTGGTGGTGTTCATAAACAAGGTTTTCGATACTGTCATCAACGAAATTTTCAATACCGTACGTGAATTCATTGCCTTGAAAATGAGCCAAATGTGAATATGTATACGTATGATTCATGTGTACAGAATAACGTTTTATTCTACACGGTTTAATTATTTCCAAATGTAAAAATACAAATCGGTGCAAATTCGAGAAAAGTTAAACCACCATGTTCAGTAGCTGCAGAATCAGCGAAGAAACCTTGCAAATCAGAGTCGTAGACTGACTGAGCCTTTTTGCTTTTTCGACATTTCGTAACACGTAACACATTTAATTTTTTTTGCTCATATTGCGCGATACTTTTCGGTAAAAAGATGTGTGCATAATAGTAGCCCTTAATGTGCTCGTTTCGGCACAGCTTGTGAATTATTGGTGTCACATCGACATCGAAATGTGTGTAAGACATCGATATTTTGAGACAACATCGAGTGCTTAAACATCGATTTTTGCTACCCGATGTTTTATCAACATTTATTGTTTGCGTAAATTATTTTTCAGCTCTGAACATTTTCAACAGATTGAATAATAAATTTTTTTTTATGTACATTTGTAAATTCAATACAACTCTGACGCGAATGATCACCAGACAGTACTGTCGTGAGAGTAACCTACTGCTACGGTTCTCCTTGACTACTTGACGGATTTACCAAAAATCTCTGGGTTCGTATCGCTGGATTGTTAAATAAACGCTGAAGATGACCAAATTACAGTACAATTGGTTGGAAAATCCGATTTTGACAGGGCGTTAGGTATTGAAGTTGGCTGGAGAAAACTGCGAAACTGTAATTTTCATGTTACACACAAACAAACTTATGCTTATTGTTGATGTTATTTCTGCATTTGACGTAGCGTTGACGCTTTTGTTTAGGTATGGCACCTCGGCGTTAACTCTAGGCGTCAGAAAACGCTCGTTCCAACGCTTTTGTTTAGGTATGGCGCTGGGCTTATACCTGCGCTCGCACTCATGTCAACTCAAGAACGTTCTGCCGTCAATCGCACATTCTCTCGCTGTTCGCGGTATTCATCCACTTCTCGCTATCGAATATTCTACGTCATTCCTCGAGCATTCTACCATTTTCTTGTTGTTCGCTTAACGCTTCCGCAGGATTAGCCACACTACATAAATACATATATTAATTTTGGAATTACTTGAGGTTTACATGTTCATATTTTCCAAATTGCCTATCAGCTTGAAGCAATTTTTCTCTCAAGACGATAAGCAATTTTTCATTCAATTTCAGCAGCTGATCATACATAGCTTTTGGCACTGAGTTTTTGCGTGCAGAAAATTGTGTTTTTTAGTCATATCATTTCATATTCAATCACTTCATTACAATAATCGATTAATTTTTTAATTTAATCGATTGAAACAAGTATTTTACTCTATCTTTTAATAGTAAATAATCGATTATTTGTAAAACAATCAAAACTAAAAAAGAGATATTTAATTTACTCTTTTTAAATATTCATGGCCGTTTTCTCATCTAACCTTTGGATTACCGAACTCTTTATCATCTCGATATACGAGCTTTCGTTTTCTCGTCAGCGCATTAATTTCTCGAATCGATAAATTATTCCTGACCCGATGTAGCCTTTAAAAATTTTTACCCAACTTTAAATTAAACATTTCCAACACATTTTTTTTTTTTTGGTTTTGGTCCATGGTTAAGATGTATTAGATATTTGAACCAAGGTTTGGGTTTTGGCTAACAGCTGCTTTTGCTCTTTATTTGCAAGGCGAATTTATACAAGGTGGTAGCTGAAGACCAAAAACAAAAACTACACTAGCAAACTAGCAAACTAAATGCACAAAAGTACAACAAACACATCATTTTGACAAACAGTACAAATTCGCCTTGAAATCAGCAGCTCCGGTAACACCTCCTCATATGAATTCATGTTTTTTCTTTGCCTGTTGTTTTTCACGGAAACTTTTGTCGACGTGATTTTTCTTATTGTTATCTTAATATCTCATATAAAAAATAGAAAAGCTGAACTGGAACCTCTTATATTTTACTTGCGCCAAATAATTCTGATATGGGTGAAATCATGGTAAAACGTTATATCGAGCGACATTTTTTGTTTTTGCATAGCTAAACGGTTGGTATTCTATACCTATGCCTTATGTTATATGTACTCACAAATTCATATTCATATTAATGTTATAGATATGTATGTAAAGAGAATAAATTAATTATCCTTTTTTAAGTTTTGATTGTTTTACAAATAGTCAATTATGTACTATTAAAAAATAGAGTAAAATACTTGTTTGATTCGATTAAATTGCAAAAATTAATCGATTATAGTAATGAAATGATTTGTCGCTACCATTCCTAATCTTATTTGAAAAACGGTACATTGGTTGCGGCGAAAAGTTTTGCTTCCATAATTTGTGCAAGGCATCAATAGTGCGGATTATATGGATTAACTATTAATTTAATTGTGGTTCATCATTTTTAAACATCAGCGACAAAAGTACTGAGGTTAGTATCGATGGTTTCGTTTTTATGTGCTGTGTAATTTATATAGTGTAACTATGCGATGGCGTTAACAATTAAAAAATGGATATTGACTACGACTTGTACGACTACAAACTAGTAAAGTTTCTTGAAGAGTCTGTCGACGTGGTCCTGCCACATGTCATCGACATAGTTTACAAAGATTGGGTCTACTTCAATACTAAACTGGGTGTCTGCGAAACACGTTTTCCACCTCCGCCATACGGAGCCATAAAGAGCAAATATTTATTTAAAAAACTGATTGAAAAATCAGAAGCACCCGCAAATTGGGAATCATATGAAATCGAAATTGTCGGTCATGCAAGTGAGTTAAAATAATATATCATTCTATTGCGCTTTATGAAATGTCGCAAAGTGGCATTTTTGGCGGCGTAAGTCTAGAATTTGGTACCTTAAAGCTGATATTTCATGTCTATACAGAATCGTACAATGAAGCACTTGAGCGACTACAAGAATTAAGGAAGAAACCATTTGCTTTCACTGACAATGAAAATGCTTCCAAGAAATCCGAAGCTATGAAACGAGAACTTCAACGCCGGGCAAACGCTGCAGCTTTGAATGAAAAGAAAGCAGACGAACACTTTAGTGATAATGTTTGTTCTTTGAGCGAAATAGAGACAGGTAATAAACAAGCAATCAGAATGCAAAATAAAAGCAACATGTTTTTATTTTTGATATGTTTTAGAGGCGGATGAACCATCCTCAAGCAAAAGGAAAGATAAACAATTTATTTCCAAATTTAAGAATCCAAATCGAAAAAGTAAGAATTGACTAGAACTTTGGAAATTTATAGTTTTCAATTATGATTTTATATATCGAAGGTTCATATTCGATATCCGCTATCTGCAATTTTTACACAAATGATTTTATGATATTAGACTGCATCTGCAACTGCCATTAATTTTACTTTTGCAATATCAATAGTACATTTTTCTAACAAGCGATATACAAGGTCAATATTAACATAATCGATGACAGTTAGGCCTTAGGTGGATTTTTATATCGGAATCTCAGTTTTGTGAAAATCGGAAAATGAGGATATTGAATATCAGCCGTAGATAGGATATTTATACATATATACATCAGTTAATTCTTAATTTACATTTAGGACGATCGCCACAATTTTCAAGTTCACCTGAAGCCTCTCCTGCTAAAGATCATCAAAAAGTCTGAAGCATCGCAAAGTTTTATACAGTGGTGGTAAATATAGCATTTTCAGTTTAAATGAAACCATTTTCAAATTAAATGACACCTTTTTCAGACTAAGCGAAACCTTTTTCATATTAAATTAAACAATAAATTGCATTTTTGTATTTAAAATGCCAAAATTGGTTTCTTAACCGCTATGAAAATGAAAAAAATATATAAACAAACTTTGGCAGTTTAAAGTCCAAATATATAAATAGAAAAAAATCAAAGCAGCTGTTTTACGCTACAATATTCAATATGCCTTGACCGTAAAGAAGAGCAACGTGTAACAGCGAATTCACAGTAAACCAAAAAAGGAAGTTTCATTTAATTTAAATAAACTTTCATTGCATTTGAAAAAGGTTTCATTTAAGCTGAAAATGCTATATTTCATGGTTGTATTTTTTCATTTGTTTTATCCATGCCTAAATTTTGTAATCGGTCTACGACTTTCAGAAAAAATCGTTGCAAGTTCGTACGAAGTGAGAAGCGAGAACTTAAATACTCTTTCCAATGCAACAACATCCCAAAAATCAAACAGCCCCAAAGTAACCTATAATCAAGTTTCAAATTATAATGGTATGGGAATTATAAGAGTAAAAATTTCTGAAATGGGACTCTCAAAACTGAAATTCATTAACCACTGACCATTCATTAATTTTAAAACGCTTTTAAGGTAATTTTACACTTGTGGTGTTCACAGTTCGTTACAAAATGGGTTGCAGAATGCTAACGTATTGATGTAGAGGCAAAATTTTTAAACAGTGACACTTTATCGCAATAGCAGTCAAAAATATATAAATTAGTCAATTTGAGAGCCCCACTTCAAAAGCTTTTATACTGCAGTATTTTATTAATATATTGCAGTACCTTATTATTATACTGCAGTGTCTATTAATTGATCAAATTAAATAAATTTCTTAGTTTTGATGGAAATTCTGAAAAAGCAAACTGGAATCGAAACCGAAATAAAATTTTTACGGTCTGAACTTCGAGAAGTGATGGAATTAATCAACGCATTTCAGAATAGTGATTATTCGGCCAGATGTCATGAAAATGGTCATCGCGTGATATCAAATATTCATTCCTTTATTGAGAAATATGACATCGAGTTACCAGTCTCTGTTGAGCAAAACTTAATCACGTTGAACCAAAAATTAATGGAAGATGATTTGTTCTGCGCAGATTTCGTAAGTTTTGGACAAGCTTTGTTTCTTTGCACCTTGTAGCAACTAGTAAACTACACTCACAAAGAGAGGCAAGAAGGAAGAACGAGCAAAATATATGAAACCGAAAACTAGTAGAGATTAGTAAGTGAACAGATCATGGATGCTTAAATTAAAATTTATTTAAAAATTCAACAATTCGCCATTATTTAATGATTTACTCACTACCTAAACGTTTATTTATCTTCCTGTTGAATCGTTTGACAGCAGTTTGTGTTTTCACGCTCTTATTTTTGCTCTCTACTACTAGTATTTAACTTCTTTTTGGTTGTTTGTGTTTCCGACAGGGTAGAAATATGATGCATTGTAGAATGATTTCCTTCATCCCTTGTCAACTTTGGTTCGTAGTAAATCGGTTTCGGCGCTGTGCCATCCTCAGTATCATTTTTCGCTGTCGAGAGAACGACGGAAAGCGTTCCACAATACATCACTCGTTTTTTACCTTCCTTTTATTAGCTCGGGATGTAACTATGTAATATTGATGCGCCTAAAAGATGCAGCGATTTCTATTCTCAAGTTACATACCTGATGACAGTACGAATGGCAATTATAATAGGGAGGTTTTAGTTTTTTAAACTATAATTTTATTATGTTACGCAACGGTTTACTACCAGAAACATGTCTATTACTAGTCACGAGTACAGAAACACTAATACAAATGAATTTTTGAAGGGACAAAATATTCATATTTTGATGACTATTTCAGAAATTGGCTATCATGAGTCTCTTTAATCGACGCAAAACACTTGCAGTAAATTTAGCGAATATTATTAAAAACATAATTTCCCGCCGAATTGCCATGAAATACACAGCTGTAAGAAAAAGTCCGGAGAAACAGATTTTCAAAAAGGAACACAATAAAATTTACAGCATCATATTCGGTGAGTTTTCCAGCAAATATTTATAGTCACAAAAGAGCCCCAGCTCGGAGCGCTTACTCTCATAATGTGCTAAACTCAGACGCGGTTATATATGAGCCGCTTTTTTTTAAAACTGGCATAAGTCACTTCACACCTCGTGTGCTTAAATGGCCGGTTACCTGTATCTGAACATGCCGGTTATTCGTGCAACTTCATCAGCCAAAGGTAAAAGGTTTTGTCATTAGTTTATGACGATAGAACGATTTACAAATGCATTCGGTTACAAGTAACCGGTCATTTAAGCACAAGAGATATGAAGTGACTTATGCCACATTCAAAATAAACGCCCCATATGTGGCCTTATGTACATCATTTGGGACTCAAAAATTTTTTAGAGGCATATCTAAAAGTTTTTTTGGCACTCCGAATATATTTGCAGGGCTTAGCTATGTGCATACAGGGTGTCCCAGAAGTAACGTGCCAAACTTTAGGGGAAGGTAGGTGGGGGGGTGAGCTCCCTGATAAACAAAAAATTTTCAGGTAACAGTGTCACCGTTTTTGAAATATTTACATTTTTTCGAATTTAAAAAAATCGTGCCTTTTCATGTGTTTTCTTTAACTGCAACTACAAACCGGGCAATACTTAGTAAATTTTTTATGTAAAATACTTCCAGATAGTTGCCTCTCCATACTCAAATGCAATGTTGTTAAAAAATATTAAGGAACCATCATAAAATTAGGACTATTTCTGGATTTTTAACTTTTTGATATTTTCTTCCCCAACTTTGACTATCTCGGGTGAAAAAAAAATGTACTGAGCTATAACTTTACATTACATAAAAAAATTGCTCATTTAATAAAGATTTCAGAAAGGTGCCACACTTACTGTTTTGAATAGAAAAAAAAAGTTATAGCCGCTTTTGTGGGTAAAGGACTGAGACACGCTAGAATGTATTTAATAGATTTAAATTGAATTTGCTCTTGTTACCGTCAAATGACATGCTAAATAGTACAAAGGTTATGTTATGTTAAAACACATTGCATACACACATGTATAGTAACAAAAATAATCGTTTTGTTTATTTTTCAGATTTTATTAATACGACAAGAAAAGAAGATGAACATATTTGTGATCAAGAATTCGCAAATTTACTGGGTTCGTGTCTGACGAACGCGAAAGACTGGGACGGACAAAGGAAAAACAGAAGATCAGGCGTTCAAGAATAAGCAAACGCAAAAAACAAAATTCAACTTTGTACTTAATTACAATAATAATCATATTCTCAAAAAAAGCATTTCTTTATTTTTTATTCACATAGAGCGTCTCAAAAAATCTGTCTAGGGCCTACATAAACTTCGCTAGCAAGGGCCCAGTTAGATTTTTCTTATAAGGCCCATGAAAGCAAAGTTCAGCCCTCTGGCTGGGGCCTACTTTGGCAAATCTGCCTAGCTCCAGCACAGAATTCGATACCAGGGCCCAATCAATCCAAAGCATTAACAAACCATCAAGGGCCTGGCCAAACTTTTCTTGGAAGGCCCATGAATTTAAAGGGGTGAATCGAGCTAGGGCCATTGTAAAATAGAGCTATAATTTCTTGCCGGGATGGAAAGTAGTGTTGAACAAAGAGTTACAGAAGAACTAGAAGAAAAACAAAAGGTTCATTTCAAGGCTGCGGAGAGCGTAACTACAGAATTTAAGCAATCTGTTGAAAATGGCAGACAAAATGGCGAATTGATAGTTTTGACTTTCGATCTCCAAAAGACATTGGAAACGCCTGCACTGACGACATCAGTGGCATATTACAAAAGACAATTATGGACGTATAATCTGTGCGCATATGATGAAATTACACAAAAAGGTAAGAGCTTTTTTTATTACAACGCTTTTATTTTTAATAAATCTATATTATATAAATCAAAGTTCCGAAATTCATTAAATTTTCATATTCATAAAGTACACAAAAATTCAGTAAATTATCATGAAAATGTTGAGCTTTTTAGTCAGAATTTTTATAAAAATTATGTACTTACATAAATTTCTTTTATACCGTTTAATTTTAGTGTAACAAAAGTCACCTTACATGTGGCTTTAAATTCGCGTTGAACTTTGGAACACCTGTATAAAATTTGGAATTTTGATTTATATTGCTTTTCTTAAAGAATGAACGATTGTTATAGTTATATTACGCACTACGGAGCAATATGGGTAATTTAATCTGTTTTTGTGGCAAAAAGTTATTTTTCTACTAGATTATGGGATCTGTATACCGTTTTTCCAGATAAGGTCATTTTAGGGCTGGGACTATCCGCATATTCGAATATCCGGATTTCCATCCGGATTATCCGTTGACACGGATAAACTCCGGATAGTATGGATATCCGGTTAATATTCGTTTGTGCAACTATCCGGATATCCGGATCTATGAAATCCGGTTAATATTCGTATTTTAGGATATTCACTAAAAAATTAACCAATTGGTGAATAATATTCGTTTAT